AGGAGAGCTATGGCAACGAAAGCGAACGCCAACTGCATCAGAATCGGGATCGCCGCAGCCGGAGCCGAGCTGTGTGACGACGGCGCAGCCTTGTCGTTGGATTTACCAGCTGGAGTAGGAGTGGGGGTCTTAGTCGTCACTGATGACGACGACGATTCTGCCTGGAGCGCTCTCCTCTCGTCTCCAAGGCACTTGTCGACGTAATCGAGTGCGATCATGGGGTATCCGTTCATTGCGAGCTTGTTAAGCAATTGCACCCCGCATTCCTGGTTAAACCTCGAGTTCTCCAGCACTTCCGCCATCAGTGCATCGATCTTGCTGCAGCACTCTCCTCCCCTTTCCAAGTTCGAGGCCATCGCGTCGCACGGACCCTTCAGGGAATCCAAGTTCACATTCGCCAAGTCGCACACGTCGGTGTCATCTTCACTGCCAGACGCGGCCACTACACTCAACACCCCGAAAAACGCCAAGGCGACCATAGCTCCATTCATCGAGCGCGCCATTTTTCACCCTGCCAACAAGAACAACGACTGCGGTTCGTCTCGAGGAAGGACGGGCGATGGCGCGCAAGTACGGAGTAACGGAGTTGATCGCCGGCAAAGGAGGGCGCGCAAATACCAACGTCGATTGCTAGAGAAAGAGAAGTGGAAGTGACAGCCAGCGAAGAACCGTGTTGGGGATCTTCCCGAAGAGAGCAATATAATAGCACCGTGCCGAACTCTTCGCCGCCAGAAAGTACACCCACCCGCGGCATGGTGACTTTTGGCCCACGCTGGATGAAGTTGACCGTAGTTCCACCCGCACCTGGATGCATCTGACCGTAATTAGACCCAGAAGCTCAGTCGGAAATGTCCTCCTGTGAGCATGCCAACCCGTCTGCCCGCCTGCACTGAACCGACGGAAGACGGCCTCGCCACCACTTACCAAACGTGTAAAACGGACGACGTATGCACTCCTAGAACGTCGGCAGATACACCCATGATAGTTCGGTCGTTTTTTTTGTTTTTTTTTTCTATATTCTTCTCTCAACTTCTGTTTCTTTTACCTTCCACTACCTACTCCTAAGACTATCTAGAGGGGACCCCTGCAAGCATAGTTTTCCTCTCTCTGTGAAGGGGAGATTTCATGTTGCCCCTTGCCCCTAATGGTTAGGGTATAGGGTTGGGGCCGCCAGTGGGGGTCTGGCTAACACAAAGACCGAGACCTGCCAATAGCTGTGCCTCCCTTTCTCATCATCCCCCACCCTTCATCGAGTAGCAGCAGAGGCTATGGCCAACACTCTCCCACACACCAAACACAACCCTCTCGCGCTCACACTCACACCCGTGTTGGTCATAGACCCCACTAATACCGATGAGGGGTATCAAGAGGACTATCACAGTCCGTTGGCACTAAGTGCGCTGCAGGCGGCCGTGGGGTTTGAACCCACAGCCTCCTGAATGCCACTTGCATGCCTAACCAACTGAGCAGGGCCGCCGGATGTCTTTTCTTTTTTTGTTCCCTCTCTTTTCTTTCTTTTGTTCCCTCTCTTTTCTTTCTTTTTCCCTCTCTTTTGTTTTTTCTTTTGGGAATAGGTCCGTATATTTTGTTTTAATACTGTTTTATAGGGATAATTTGCAAAATACCCTCATAAGTGGAAAGATGTGCCAAAATACTCCTGAAAGATGTCGGTAAAGCGGAATGCCATTTTGGGGCGAAATCTTTGTGTTGTGCCCCTGTCAGGCGCCCGATCCTGATTACCGCCGATCTCGACCCTCCCTCAAGCCCCCCCCGATTCCGACTCCTCGAGCTTCCCCCCTCGATCTTGCTGCCGACCTCGCTTCCGTCAGACCCCTGATCCCAACCATGCCCCCCCCTTCCCCGGTACTTCTCCCGATCGCGGTTAGCCCCCGGCTCCCTTCCGAGTTTCTCCCACTCCCCGCCCCCCCCCCCCCCCCCCCCCCCCCCCCCCCCCCCCCCCCCCCCCCCCCCCCCCCACACCCCCCCCCCCCCCCCCCCCCCCCCCCCCCCCCCCCCCCGACTACCATTGCCGCCCGTACAACCCTTTCCCCCGATCCGGTTCTCCGATCCCTCCTGAGTCCCCCACGATCCAGCCCTCCCCGATCCTGATCCCTCCCGAACTTCCCCTGACCACAATCCAGCCACCCCTCCCTTCCCTCTTGRTTTGACTCCTACAAGCCATCAGAAGAGTGCGGGCGACATGCACACAGGACATTAGGAACACTAGGAACACAGACGTGCACGTACTAAACCCACTGACTCACTCCTACATAAAAGGCACCGGTAGTCCACGCGTGAGCCYTCATCACTAAGCACAGAATTGTCACACCCTTTCACAAAAGGAAGTATGGCGAGTTTCAAAAGCGCGGCTAGGAAAGGAAAAGGGCAGCCACGGACGATCTGGTATCAATGTGCCATAGGCCACCACTCGTTTGATTGGCGGCCCCGGCGCGAGAAGGAGAGGATAGAGGAGGGGACCATGGCAAAAGCCTCCTCCTCCCAACCCCCTCGCTCAAATCACACAAATGTTTTATGATCGCCTTCTCAATCCCCCCTCTCTCCAGCAGAGCTGTTAAGGGAAATGGAGGACCCGCAGAAAAGGAAAGAAGCCCAAAAAAGTCAATTCTAAGGGTCTACTTGGGCCCACAAGCTTAAAAACATGTACACGGGTCAAACATTGTCAGTGAAAAAGGACGGAGAGAGGGAAGAAAACCTGGAAATCCCACTGGACAACTTGACCATAGCATCAGCCTTTTTTTTTTGGCAAATTCTTAGCCAATTCGGAACATAAGATAATCAGTCAAGAGGGGAAAAAGCAAAGGGTCGAAGCCCTTTCAGGTGACATGATGAGAGAAAGGGATGCAATATACACTCGCCATGCAAACACATGGGTTTTCTATGATGCCGCCGCCTACATGACTACCAACGATAAGGTAGGATGGATTAGGAAAAGACTCATAACCCTCAAAGGATCTGAAGAGGGCGCACGAGACGTCTTTCTAATCCATCCTATCTCATCAACGGTAGTTATGGTAATCTGTATGTTTAATTCCGACAAGAGAATTATAGACACATGGCGAAGCATACCCTGCGGACGTCTGGAGGTCCGTATCTTCCCCTGGTATCCTCCAAAACAACAACGACTAGAGGAAAAGAGGGACCAATTAATATCGGACCATTATTGGGCCGAGTTCCGTCATGTACCCATTGAAATCCTARGGGCCTTTGTGCAAGAACTAACTCAAAAAAATGAGATTGTTGATTTCATTGACCCCTTCCCCCCCCACATGGCCCCATGGGATGATTATCTCATGGTAGCCCTCGATCTACCGAAATGTCACATCTTTACCATCGATGATKTCATCCTCTTCCGTGTAGGAGAGAGGGACTTCCGTATTTACACGACGCACAACACGAGACTCTGGTGCTTTAAATGTCAGGCATACAGCCACCTCCCGATGGAATCTGACTGCCCCCACCATCCGCCCAAAAGGATCAGAGCCACAGGACGCCTGCTACGCGACTCCTTCAAAGACACCCAGTGGAGAACGGTCGATGCAGGACACGAAGGAGTGGTGTACGTGGATGAGTCATGAGAGGGAGGCGGAGTGAGGGGTTGGGAATGGGAAAAAGGGGAAGCCATAGAGTGGAACACMAAACCAGTGGAGGCACACATGGACAAAACCGTCAACCTCCCCTCCAAGGAAACGGAGACACAGGAGCCCCGGAACTGAACCCAGACCTCAGGACTTCATCACTCCATCAGATCTGGGGGAACTATGGCAGTTTCCGACCCCGAAAAAGAGAGCCCACCTCGGCAAGCACGAAAAAGTACAGAACCAAAGCAAAAAAGGCAGCCTCAAAAAATCAGAGAACAGATTCCAGGCTATAGCGAGCACATTAGACAAACAAACAACCGAGCAGCGGTCCAAGGAAGTGGGGCAGAACGAGCTAACCGGAGGGGAGGGGAAAGGCATAACACAAGAAAGAGCGAAACTCCCCGCTGAGGGCAATTGCGAACAGAGGGACAAGGGGCGAGGCGGGGGGGGAGGAGGAGGGGGAGGGAAAAAAGGAAAAGGAAGGGTAGAGAATCAACTGCACCAAGAGATTACCCACAAGGAGACTAGGAAGCACGCTTCACGAGAGGCAGCTGCAGTGGACTCTCCCCGCGAGATTCAGACCTCGCAAGTGAACCCTTCCGGGGTCTCCTTGTTACAGGGGAAAAAACCTCCACCACGGACCCATTCTTTCAGGCGTTTGGAACCCAACCCATGGACTGGGAATCACCCGGGGGCCCCCCTGACGAGGAAATGATAGACAACATTCCCGAGGCTTGGGGCTCACAAGGAGAGGAGGATGTTGAGACCAAGTTAAAAGGTCTGACGAAATGGCTAATTAACCATCTCCTGACATTGTACGCAGGTTAGTTAGAGTCATACTGGGACGAGGCCTATGTACAATTGTTTTCCTTACTAGACGAGAGCCCCTGTCTAAAACACGCCTTGGGGCAAGGCCTATCCCCGGACATGGATTGGCAACAGGTGTTGTACAGAGTCTGGAAGTTCTGGAACATTGTACACCAAAAGTTTCAGCCCCCTGAAACGATAAAAACACCAGACCTATCCGAAGAAACAACAAACTCAGGTCAAGCAGACAAGTCACCAGATCTGTATGAAGGCACAACCAATTCAGGCCCCACAGACATCCCCTCCCCCCTCCCCCGGATAGTACACAACCGACCATGCACACAGAACAAACGGCACAGGGGAAGGATGAGGTTGCAAAGAAAGCAGAGGAAACATGACTCTCGAAACGATCAAAAATATGACACCTCATCGAAAAGGGGCTATACCACAAAAGCCTCCCGAAAAGGGATAAATTATTCGTACTTCCAATCAAGAGGAAGATAGGAAAATGCGAACTTGGTCTGTCACCCGCTGACGCAGAAGACTCATACACCCTGTCCTACAGAGGGATGACATTGCATGGTTGGTACATGAAAAGGGCGGGGGCACTACGGTTCCATGAGGTCACAAAATTTATCACAAACTATTATGAACCAGGGGCAATGGCCACCATTAGCGTGTCATCAGAAAAGCTGAAGATGGCCTACAAAGATCTCTACGTAGGATTCGAGGACAACAAGGAAGCAGGGTTGCAATGACTCTCACATAGCTCGCTTTTGGACACCCAACAATTGAAAATCGAACCTAGTAACATTTGGTCGACGAACGACCTATTCACCTGTGTATGCACAATATTGAGGAAGAACATCCTCAACAAGGGAGTTAACTGGGAAACACAGGAAGATCACCGTTATAAATCAGGTAGTGGGAGGGGTAAGGGGACACATGATACATAATGGACTGCGTGGAAGTGGTGTATAGTAAAAACAAAAAATGGAAACTCACTCCCCAGTAGGCAGATTTGAACATTCGATCGATTAATGTCCAGAGTCTAGCATCTCACAACCTGTAAAAGAATAACGCCTTGTCGGACCTCATGAGGGGGGTGGGGGGAAGAACATGGTCAAACGTAATTTGTGTCAAAGAAA